CGGCCTTTGGCATGGGACCAGGGGCTTTTACAGGCTTCTGCTGAGAAATCAGCTGAAAGCTGAAGGGCCTCGTCCTTCCTCACCCCCACTTCCACCCCATTAACACATAGTCTCCTCCCATGCCGCAATACTAATGCGCCTTTTATTGCCCACCAAGTAATCCCCATGCCCTGCCACAGTCCATTTCACACAACTTATTTTTTTGGCCCAGGGGAAGAAGAACCAGTGGGGGGAGGGCAAGAAACCCAGTCCTTTACTGGAAGGATCAACAGTTGCTCCTGCATCCCAAGAAAACCTGCAGTGCAGAGCTGTGACCATTGCACAGCAGTAAAACCTGGACCTCAAACCAGTGCATAGCTGTGGCCTTCTCCAGGGAAGGACCTCAGAATTCCCTTCCCTTTTTCATTAGCACTGTTTATTTCTGAGCAGTGCGGGATGCCAGGACATTGCTCTGTCGCTCTGCTCAGAGTCATCTGAGCATCACGCTGCCCTATTTTCATTTAACAGGGAAAAAAAGTTATGCCATTGTTCCTTTCTGAGAGTTCCAGGGGCACCAGTGGCTGCAGACAATGAAGCACTGCAGACCACGGGACCTGCAAGGGCAAGGGGTTCTATGCAAATCTCCTGTACCACCACTTCAGTATTACTAAGGATCCCAAAGATTCATGCCACTCCTCGCTCTCTAGACTGGACTGACAGAGATCACAGAAACGATGAGCACACTGTCATGGACCTTTAAAACAAAGAAGACTGAGAAAATCAAAGAGAAAAAGAAATAACTGGGCAACGTCCCAAGACTGCTGGTGCTGTCACGTACAGGACCTGCCTACTGCACTCACTGATCATGGTGGTTCCACCAGCCAGGGCGGCTTTCGTCCCTTGGAAGAAATCATCCACAGCTGTCATCCCCTTGTATGGCATCTGCAGGCGAGTGTGGACATCAATTCCTCCAGGGATCACCATCTTCCCATTGGCTTCTATAGTTTTGACCCCTCCAGGGACAATCAGATTGTCTCCAATCTGCCTGATGAGATCATACCAAGATGGTGAGCCACACACAAAGGAAAACCAGCCACAACATAATCGACAGTTCACCTAGGGAGCAGCCAGGTCAACTCCTCCCGCTGGCAGAAATGTCCCACTCCTTCCCACTCCTTCCCACTCCCACACCTGGGCTTGCAGGAGCCAGCAGAGTGACACCACCTCGCCATGCAGCAAAATGCAGGATTGTCCTACTTGCTTAAACCTACGATTTGCATAGGCCAGGGGTGGCTGCCATCTGTCCGACTGCTCTAACGGTGGCCATGGTGGCACCTGCTGTCTGGGGCAGGCACTGGGTTGGGATAGCTGGGGAGTATGGTCTGATGGGCATGCAGATCTCTGCAGTGCATGGTGAGAAGCTGCCTAGGACACTTCGTACCCCTCAGACTCATGAGTCAGGATCCTGCAAGCGTTTCCAGCGTAGCAGTCCTACCTGTTCACCCAGGGTGCATGCTCACAAAACCCGACACCAGCCCTGCTTCCAGTAAGCTGCACCCCTAATCTCTCTTCTCCCCCGTCCTTCTGCTCACCTTAAGTAAGGCTCAAGTCTGAGGCTTACTTACAGAGAAAGATGATTTCCCAGCATAATGCCACAGCTGCTAGGCCAGCTCAGGGCTCCTCAGGGACTTGTAATGCTGCTCACAGCACAAAGTCCCGAGGGTAAAGGGAAGCCTCCCTCCGGGGAGCTGGGGAGGAGCTCACAAAGCGCACAGCGTGGCTGGCTGCAGCCTGGCTGGGCTCGCGGCACAGCCTGGAAGCACTGGGCTCACTCTCTTCCCAAGGAGCACAGAGTTCTCCCCTCCCCAGGACCTCCCCTCTCATGCTGTCTCCTTCATGACCCTGAAGGACATCTTTGCTATCAGCAGGGCCACACTGTAGTGAAGGCTGCTAAAATCCCAAGTACCTAAAAATAAGAAGTTGCAGTATACATCTACTCGTAACCTAAAATTCCATTACAGTCCTCTGGAGTTTGTGCTGTTCTAGCACATGACATTCTCCTCCCTAGACATACCCTCCTGCAGGCCAGGTCACCTGAACCTTAGGACTCCCTTCACTCAGTCCCCCGCCCCCTCAATCCCTTTATCTGTCCATATGTAGCACACAGCCTTCAAATCTCTTCTTCCAGAAATCCTATTTTCATCAAGCCTTCCTCAGTCTTCCCTGATAAATCAAGATAAAAGACAAGTTGGTTTTAATGGAAAACTTCTGATTTCCTTGACACAGTGGGGAGGTAAATGAGGAGCAAGTTCCTTAGTCACTTTGCAGATTTTTTTTTTTCTTTAGAACAACAAAAGTTCCGTGGACAGAACTGCTCGCTCCAGTGTCCTCAGAGCAATAAACCAGCAGGTCTTTCCACCACTTTTATTGAGATGAATCTATCACCAAAGGATTTAAACTGCTCACTGTATTCCTACCAGAATTCACTTGGAGAGCATGTAACTTCCAAGGCAATGAAATTCTGTGACCTCCAGGCTGCAGACGAGGCTAAGTGATTTGCCCAAGGATACCCAGAAAGTCTGTGTCATAGCAAGATCTGAAGCTGGCCCTGATCCCTGCCTGGGTACAAGTACTAGTCAATCACCAATGCTCTTGTCCACCAGCTAAAAACAGCCTCATAAAAAATACAGTCCCACTTCTTGAAGTATTTCTCTACTGCTGGATTTTTAAACTACACCATCCTAGGAAGGCTGGATATTTTCCTCTCACCATAGAGCAAGGAATGCCTTTTCAAGTCCCTCTGCTATAAACTATCACGGTTCTTTCAATTCACCCAGCTTGGAGCTGGTCCCAACGTGATGCATTTGCCACGTTTGAACTGCAGCCTTTAAACAATGGAGTTATTACTGCACCTCTGAAACACACACGAAGAAGCTGGGTGGGACCCAGAGGTTTGCCTGCAATTCCTGAAAATCTCAAGGATGCAGATGACCTGCAGCACAGCACTGTCCTTGTTAGTGCTAACAAACGGGATCTTGTGTGGGGTCATTCATGCTAATACTGTTAACACAGGGCAAAACAGGAGTCAAAGATAAATCTTGTTCCTGGTGCTATTAGGTACAGTTTTGTTGTACAATGGATGCTGTGTCACGAAGTCACCAGGCTGGTTGCAATTCAGTCACTGGAGTTACTATGTAAACACATCAGGCAATCACATATGTACTCACACACACTGCAGAGAGCCGAGCCTCTAACCAGAGCGGGCTATCAAGTTTTACTGGCTAGCAAGTTGGGTACAGACTACATCCACAAAAAGCCAATAACCATCCAACCTGAAGCTGATTTAAGGGGAGATAGAGATAATACGCTGTAGAAGTCCCATACTTACTTTATGAGGCCATCCTCCATGTAAATGTCAGCATAGAATGACTGGTCATCATTGACTATTCTCCCTCCTTTAATAAGGAGACGATCACTCTGCGAAGGGAAGAACACAGCAGCTGTCAGTAGCAGGCAATACACGTGCTTCTCAGCGACCAGTATGGTGCCCTTCTTGGGTGCTCTCCTACTGCATCGGACAGCTCACCCCAACAGCCAATACTGCAGAAAGTTCACATCCGTACCGACACTTGAAACAACAGGACAAGAGCAAGGATTGAAAACAGCCCATACTGGTAGGGCTGTTTCTGAATGGAGCAGGTGCTGCCAGAAACACCACCAAGGCAGAATGAGTACAAAGAAGAGTCACTGGGGACACAGCAAATGTGCTTCCATAAAATATACAGAGAGAAGTCAAAAGCTTCCTACACCAGGTCGTTCTGCACATAAATCTGCAGGCAGCACAAGCCACATACCAGTATTTTTACAGCAAGTTTGTTACGAAGGGCAGGTCTTTAAATCTTATCCAAATACCATGCAAAATAAGTTGCATTAGGGAAGACAATTTATCTCTCTCTCATCCATTATCACCTTGCAAAGACCACCAACAGGACAGGCAGCCCTGAAGATGATGCCTCAGCTGGTAGAATGTGTCCCTCCCCTGTGATGCTGAGGGTAATCCTTCTGAGGTGTTCCACAACGTCGCAGGTCTACACAAGACCCAGGAGGCACTGTACTGCATTCCCGCCTCACCATTTACCACCTCCTCTGTTCTCCTTTCTACTGACCTAAGCGGCCAGCAGCCTTCTCCCAAGGAGCACGGCCTGACCGTGGAGGAGCACCCAGACCAGAACTGCTCTTATGCTCTTCCTGTATTCACGCCCAAAAGGACCTGGGCAACCCAGCATACACTGACGGGAGAGAAGGGACACTGTGCTGTGGGGAACAGACCCTGTCCTGAGGAACGGGGAAGGCTGAGGTCCTGCTCCTCTACCTCCACCTGTACAAGTCCGAACACCAGCTGTGGGCAGTACAGGGGCAAGCAGCCTGATCTCACACATGGCTACCAGGTATTCAGGTGACATAAGCTGACTGCGCTGTTCCAGAGAATATGTAGTCTTCCTGACTGCTTAAAACGCCTCCAACAACCCTCCAGCTCTCAAGCTCCCCTTACTTTCCTTTCTGCTCCCCCTGGTGCCCACAATCCAGGTTTTGGCATGTGAGTACACCCCCCTTCCACAGTCCAATCCCGGACCATGGCTGACTGGAGCCTTCAGCAGGGCTCACACACCAGCCTCACCCTGTGAAGCTCTTGCACAATTAATTCCTCTACAGGCAACTGGGTTTGTTCTTCATCTGCCACCCCTGGGGTGATTTCTGGAAGCATCACCACAGTGGTGGTAATTTGCAGCTTCCTCCCTGGCAACAGAAGGATGCGAAAGAATCCCCCCGTGTCCCTGCAGCTTGCAGCAGCCAAAGCCCTGAGACTGGTGTGCGTTTTTACGGCAATCTCATCCACACACAGTCGAGACAAAGAAACTGGGTGGGGAAAGGATGAGAATGCGCGGCACTCTCTACCCCGGCTGCAGCTCAGCGCTGCTGCAGGGGAAGGAGACACGGTCTCTCCTCGCTTCCCAGGCAAGGGTTTTCCCACAGCTGCACCGATGACCAGCAACCCGAGTCCCAGCAACAGGGATTTACCTTCCCCATCCCCACTCAGCACAGCTTAACACCGATCAGAAGCCTTGCCTCCCACCAGGAAAAGCGCACGGCCAAGTTGTTCCCGTTCCTGTCCCACCCACCATCCTCCCCGCCACGCAGACCCGAGGTCAGCTCCCCTTGCCCCTGACCTAAGCTAACACATCGGTGCGGAGGTCTAGCAGAACTCTGCTGCCTGAGGGGGGGTCTGGAAGCAAGGGCACCTTGCTGGTCACTGACCTCCCTGCACAGCTCCTTTAAACAGCTGGCTTGAACAGATCACAACCAGCACACAAAGATGCGTGCCTTGACTAGCAACCTGGGGGGCCACTACCACCTCTCACGTGCAGCTCTTTTCCTCAGGTACAGCCGAGGCAGGACGAGAGCCAGGTTCGTGCCAGCCCAGGAGTCCCGGGTCCTCATGCCAGCTCTCAGCCTGTGCTGCATCCCTCCCTGATGGGCACATGCCAGGCGATGCTCGGCTTTGGGGCTGAGGACCCCCAGCACAAACAGGTGCTGTTGACGAGCCACTGATTCTCCTCCTTCGCTGGCACAGGGCGCTTGTCCTTCCTTTTGTGCCTATTCAATTGTCGTCTCACTAACAACACTGTAATTTTAAGTTCAGAAACCCCTAAAAGAGCTAAGTGTGACCACAGCCAGTTGCTTATAGCCTGTCAGTCACAGGGGTCAAGCAGCTGAGCCATGGCTCCCATGGATGCAAATTATGAGTATTTAAGTAACACTACAAGAAATACAGATAGAAACTGCCAAGTAACAGTATCAGGTGTCAGCTATGGAAGAATCAGGGCCACAGTCAGAAACACAGGGAAGGAGATTCTCATTTTATATTTCAGCCAACTGTACATAGAGTTTCTCCCACATAGCCAGTCCCCTACGCCCTGGCAGATCCTCCTTGGCTTTACCTAGCCTGCACAATGAGAAAAAAGTCTACCTGCCCAGACCAAGTAACATGACCGAGCCTCCGTTTTTTTTTGTCTTGCCCACACCCTTTAAACCTCCCCGACTTGGTTTCCCAAAGGCCCTGGAGTTCGTTTTTGCTAGAGTGCAGGAGTGCCAGCAAATACTGGTGCTGGCCTGCCTCTCCCTGTGCATCGGACAAGAGAAAGCAAGGGGAGACAAGCACAGGAGGCACGGGGGGTAGGAGACTGCAGCACTTGACAATTACTGAATAAACTGTTAATATGAATTCTGAAAATATGCCTGCCCACAAACACAAATGGTCATTCTGTGGCAGATGTGAAGGGCTGCTCAGGGCTAACTGTGTTAGTACACAAAATTGAGAGGTCCATAATGGCTGGAGCACACACAAGGCGTTCATTCAGGGGATCGGGCGCCGCCTCAGGGCTACCAGACACCCTCCATGCCCACAGGAGAGAAGGGCTGCATCGGCGCCTCCCCACCAGCTACAAGGGAAAAATACAATAAAGCAAGTAAAATCCAGATGACACCACATCTACAGGCTCTGGCATCGTTCAGGAGTGCACCCAGACGTTAAGAGGCAGGCGAACAAGAAAGGAAGAGAATGAAGCAGTTAGAAGGAAACAAGTCTGACTTAATAGACAGGCTTCTGCAGCACACGCTGCCAGAGCAGCCTCAGATTACAATAAATGCACTGTTTCCCCTGCCAGGGCTCATTTGTGCGTCTCCACACCCACCACGTCTCCCCGCCAGCCAGTGTCAGGCTGTGTCATCAGCCATTGTTAGCACATGGAAAAACCCTCCCGCACCAGGAGCCACCGAGGCACTGCAGGGAGCACCTTCGCTCCCGGCCCGGCAGAAGCGCTGCGGGGCGGGAGAGCGTGCCCAGGGCCCAAAGCCCGGCCGCCTCCGCTGCCCAACTCAGCCCCAGGCTGCGGGAGCAAGCAGGGGCTGGCCTCTGTACAAAGGGCCCGGCATGCCAAAGCGGCAGCGTGAGCGAAAGGTGCCACGCAGACCGTGGCTGCACGCAGCTCTACCTGACCGCTGGCACGGACCTGTCAGGCTTGCCGGCCTGATCTCCGCTGCTGACTGTGTCTCAGCAAGTCTCCACGCAGCCAGCGACAGCCCGTTTGTCACCGGTGTGGGACCTCTCGTGAGCATCGATTTCTGCAGGCACAGGTGCTGCCCCACAAGACCAAGCCTGGAAGCATCCTTCCAGCACAGCTCTGCCAAAAGCCGGCAGGATCACCACCAGCCCCTAACAACCCTGCCCCACTGGGAAGCCTTTCAGCTGAACATTCCCTGTCTCTCTGCCTGCTGGCATTTGGGATCAAGCTTTCAAAACCAGTACCCATTCCCTTATGCCCACACTCTGCTCCTGATGCTCTTAAGCATCATCTGGTCATTTGAGATCCCAAAATATCAGGGGGTCTCAACATTTCTCAGTGTGACACTGCAGAAGCAAAGGGAGGAAGCGGCTTCCAGAAGGCTGCTGAATCCAGCCAAGAATAGTGCTCACCTTGTTTACAAAACACAAGGGCATAATTAGGGCAGCATGGAAGCAGGTGTATGGCTTTACTGCTCTTTCCCTTGTAAAAGAAGAGACACTAATTGCAATGGTGTTTCATCAGTAGCTGGATGTCTTCTCCTTACTAATGGACAAACCCCTGGCTGGAATCACAGGGACAGCCAGCCAGCCACCAGCTGCACTCAGTGATTCCCCATGCTCTGTGGGCATGGTAAGAAATGCCATACTGATAGCTGCCAGTTTACCAAAATCCATCTAGTCAGTAACTGAGGCTTTTCGCCCCACTTGCACCTGATACAACATACTAGCCATCCCCATGCAGACCTCATTGTTTTTAGAGGTGCCAGAGACATCACAGAGACGGTGCCTGTGGTTGAACAGGATGGGCATGGCTCACACCAAGAAAAAAATATGGGAACTCCACTCTGCCTGAGATAGGAAAGGTTTTTGTGACCAAAGCACAAAGACTGGGCAACTGTTAGCAGCTATTTTGTGAAACCAGGGCAAGGCATTTCACCACTTGAGTCTTCCACCTCTCTTTCTGCAGGAATAGGAAAACATACTGTGGACAGCAGGAGGGGAAGTATTTTGATCATATCTCCAAACAACCAAAGAAAAGGAATGAATAAAAAGTCTCTCAATAGACACACAAGGTTTGAAATTACTATTCTCCTGAGCTGGGCATCCCAGCATCACCACAGTTCTAGAAAGTAATACTATGTTTACTGGTCTCTCATGCACTCTGCACAACCTAAGGCGCAGTGAAGAGCAGCACTTCCATACCAAGCTGATGAAGCAACTACTGAGAAAGCCAAAACACTCAGTGAACCTCCTCTCCCCATGTTTTCTCCACAATGCAACCAACAGATATGCCCATACTTCCCAATCTTCCTTCAATGGCTACGGTCTTGCCTGTCACACATAGCTTTTGACC